CCCCCATAGGGACTGAAATGATGTCGGTAAATGCGATACTAACTTCCCTGTTAATCCTAATATATTTGTATTTGATTTTGAAGCAGACTATAAGCTGAATTAATTGTAGTCGACAATCGCATGCTGAAGAATACTATTTATAGGATATTAGGATCTATGACATGCAAACTTTGACGTTACGAGCGAAGACTTCCTCTGAAAAGCGACAAACTTCCCGAATCGTGAACGAGTGTTGTTCCTATAAGGTCGGGTTTATACGCCGTACTTTTCATGAGCCAAACTTAATTCATATTTTAGTAGCAAGTTTATACATGCCCATAGCATTATAAACTTAAGTTAATGAAACAAGCGTTAGGACAAGAGTAAAGTTGTGCAAAGTCTCCTGGAGTACAAAGGTCTGGTACAAAGGTCAATCTGTGAATCGTGTGATCATACACGTGCAAAGCGCAAGGCTGAATTAACAACAAACCATTGTCAAATCTCTTCCCATGCGTGCGGGAAAATAGACCAATCAGGTTTCACCTCTTCGTCTGCATAGTTTCCTGCTTGGATCAGTAAGCCTCATTGTGTCACTTGCAAGCAAAATTGTATGATCTCTGTGGCAAAGTACTTCAAAATTATACTTTTGGAAAAGATATTTCGCGGATATATAACAACGGTCAGTAACACAGTATTATTCAGTGAGACGCAGTTTATTGAAATATAGCTCTGCCGCGGGCAAGCGCTTTTACTCTTCTGGTGGACAAAGGAATACGTTGGCTCAAGTATTGATGTATGATTCAGTGAGACGCAGCTTATCAGTCAAATATTACTCTGCCGCGAGCAACCGCTTTTACTCTTCTGGTGGACAAAGGAATACGTTGGCTCGTGTATTGATGTATGATTCAGTGAGATGATGTTTATTCAAATATAACTGCCGCGGGCAAGCGGGCAAGCGCTTTTACTCTTCTGGTGGACAAAGGAATACCTTGGCTCAAGTATCGATGTGTGATTCAGTGAGACGCAGTCTATTCAAGTATAACTCTACCGTGGTCAAGAGCTTTTACCTTTCTGGTGGACAAAGGAATACGTTGGCTCAACCGATGAAGTTAAACGAAGCCGCCGCTGGGGGAATTATAACAAGATCGAGAGGCCATACACGAATTCAACAAGTGTCATTTGATATCATTCGTATATCAATGTATATGTATGCACATGCATTTGGTGCGTAAGTATGCGGTGAATTCACACGTTTGCTTCGTATTTCGCTTTTCAAACCAACCAAAATGCTTTAACTTCATCTATTTTATCACAGAATTCGAGAATAGTAATTGTCGAACGCCAAATGTATCGACTATTCACGCTAAATCGATCTGTATTTCAATTTCGATTTCAATGTCAATTTTATTACCATCTTGAGGTTATTAATTAACCGGCCAGATTGGGCCTCTGATTCGGGGATTTGGTTTCAGTAAAGCGTCACATTAAACTGTATTCAATCATTAAAATGTAGATTATATAAAACTTCCTTTCTAGCTATTTCAGGGCACTCTTTAATAAAACAAACACTAATTTGGACCGTATATATTATCAATACCTTACTGGGCACAACATAGGAAATCAAGTTCATGTGTGAGAGAAATTTAGGATCTACTTTATCTACATTTGCGATAAATCGGCAAGTTGGATATGTCATGAAAGATTGGTTACTCATGAAAATTCATTAATGCCTTATCACTATACTGCATGATTTTTTTAGTCTACCAAATATATATTCTTACAATTTCTAGCTGCTACTCTCATACATGCATGATTGCATGTTCAAACAGTTCAATCACAACACTGTGGTTATAAACACCTGAATTGCATTTTGATCCTGCTATTTTAAAATATTGAACAAGCTATTTTTCCTGAGATTAAAGTCATATAATTCGAGAATTATATTATGTCAAGTTCCGCCAATCATAATTCAAATAAAATAAGTGGGGTTAACAAATACATGTTGCAAAATTGCTATCGAACACATTGACATTAAAAATAAATAAATCGTAAGGAAAACAAATAAATAAATAAATAAATTAAAAAAAAATGATAGTGAGCTTTATTTGTCGTGTTACCAACCCTCCAATCAAGCACCTGTAAGATAGAAGCTTTGTGGGGAAGCTGCTGGTTGTCTTGGCCCCATCCAGGTTTCCTGTAAAGATATTGCAGGTTTTTCCTGGCCTCCCTGATGTTCCAGCTGTAGTATGAGTGATGGTAATGCTCAAATATATGTCTTACGATCAACTTGTAGTTTCAAAAAAAAAAAAAAAAAATTCTATTTGCATATAACATGATTTTAATCAATTAATTATTTAAAGTGTGTCGAAAGAGAAATATAGACGACATGTCTTCGAAAAGCACAAAGATCATCTGTCTTCTATACGATTACAGTTGTGGTGGGAGTTGGGTATTTTCGTCTATGGGGAATACACATGCTGTGTATTTGTGGGGATGGAGTGCTCCCAAAGGTCACCCTCAACCCCATAGACTCACACAAATCAATGTATTATACAGGGTGTATCAAAAAAAACGCAACCTCGGAATTTCCCAAGAAATCTACATTGTTTTAAAGACAAAAGATTTTAGGCGCCTGGGAATTTAAAATAGCACAACTGTCAAAATTACTGCACACGCGAGTGCATAAAGCAAAATTTATGCATTTATTTAAT